GGGGGGTAGGATATTTGGGGGTCTGGTAGAAAATAAGAAAGGAATAGAATAAGTGGGTGTTGAAGGTAGAATATATGGGGGGGGAGTAGAATTAGTGGGGGTGGTAGTGGAATAATATAATTGGGGGTAAGGGAGTAAAATAAGCATGGTGGGAGTTAACCAAACACCTTCCTAAAATCCACACATCATCAATTCTTGTCATTTAGACTTTTCTGACCATGACCATATACTCACTACACTTTTATTTTACAGAAATGTTCCCCCTGCCCTCTTACTTGAACTTATTAATCTAATGGCCTGCTCTCTCCTCCCACCAGGCCACGCCAGGAAGGTCAAACATGGATGACCCGCGCTAATTGGATTGAAATGACTCTGGGGTTTGCCAGAGTGTGATGAACTTCATTTCCAGTCTCAGCATCTGTGAGGTGAACCCATTCTATTGGATGATTTCACTGCACTGATCACTGATCGCACTGCCCTGCTGGGTTCAGGCCTTGTCCAGTAGTAACCAGATTAGCTGTTTTGGATGAGATACTTGTTTGTTATTTATCCTTTCACGGTGATCCTTAAACCTTGTTTTGATGGGAAATTTATTTATGAACCAGAATATAAGGATGTATTTTTTTTTCAGTATTATTTCTTTTATGAATATTTTTTAAACAGTTTGATTTTAGGATTCAGACATGCAAACACATCTGTAAGCAATATGTAGATTGTACCCTGTTCAGTGTTATGATGTTATCAGCACGTTTTGTTTTTCAAATAACTGGGAATACTGTTTATTTATAGAAATGAATATTCAACTGTAAAATTTGGCATTGATTTTAAAATAAATATATTGCCATGTATATTTTGATTGAACTGCAAAGCCAAGCACTGTCTGTCATCCAGTAGACCCAGTTTTGAATCAAATTCCTCTCTGCTAAATAACACCCAACCTAATTTTTTCAAACTTGTTTTCATTGTCGTGAAATTAGATATGTTTGTAGAAAATACAAGTGTCAGCTTGTAATGGATCTAAAAACAGCACATATTTAACCCTAAGGATCTTATAGACCCCCAGGCTCCAGCAACTAATTATTAATAAATTTGTTTTTACTGTAGCAATTATTTTTTGAATTAATCTATTTTAGTTCAAGGGGTAAAAGGTGGCCAGGGTGCGTGGAGAAGGAAAGGAGCGTGGCCGTCTCTGGAACAGAATGGTAGCAAAGATCCTAAAATATCAACTCTAGCGACCCGAGCATTTACTGCATGCTGCTTCAGATTGGTAGCTTGAACTGTGCGGTTTTAAGACGTCAGATTTAATTACCAGTCTAAAACTTTGATCAGTAGAAAAAAATGTGGTTTTGGATCTAGCTACTGGTACCATGAAATTTCAGATTATTCAACATTGTCATGCTGTCAAAAACAGCCAAGTTGTATGTTGATTTGGTCAGTGTTTATTTTGTAGTGAAAAATGTAGTTTTATGGATTATTATCTTACACAGAGCATAGGATTGTATTGATTGTTTGCACTGTTAAGTTATGAAAATATGAATGTTTTTCTAATGAAAATTTAAAGATTACAGAAAAGTATTTTAATGATGAGCTTTTTCCCTTCTTTTTAGTTTAACACCTATTACTGGACTGAACTGTTCAGTTAAATCTCAGGTGACAAAAATGTGTGGAATAAAAAGAAAAATAATACTCTTTTTAAGTCAAATGTGATCCTATAACTTACCTTTAGTTGAAGTTGGCCAGCTTTTGCTTTCTTATCAGGAAGATGTGGGAGTGGTCTATCAGTGAGCCCTCAGTCAAGTTTTCAAAGAATAATTAGTAGGAACTAATTAGCAGAAAACATCCAAGTCTGCAAAACCGTCCAAAGAAAAACTCCGTCCTCAGCCAAATGTCTGTCTTCGTAACAGTTAATTCCTATTCTTCTCAGTCTCAAGAGAGAAACGATGTGTTTATTAGGTGCAACAGCTTGGTTGAAAAAATCAAGGAATTTCTTTTTAAAAAAAGAGAGAGAAAGAGGAAGCGTGATGCTTCACAGACATTTTGACGTCAGTTTTTTAGTTGATGCATTTGGTAATTGTTTGGTGTGAACCCACAGGGAACAGGACTGCCTCCACAGGGAACAGTTCTGGTGATAACATTCTCCACCAATGTGTGGAATATCTGTTATAGTTTCTCTTGTTTTTTCAAGCAATAAATAGTCCTTCCATCTTTCAGAAATATAAAGTTTTTTCACCTGTCCAGGGTTAATGGTACTTTAAAGGTAAGGTTAGAAGCACTTTTTATTTGTAAATATATTAATTGGTCTGATGCTTTTCTTTTGTATAACTCATTTTAGTTTATGAAGGGGAAAGAATAATTTGATTATTTATCTAAGTCACAAGAAATGATTTGGAAAGAAAATTGCTATTGATCATAGGTTTTTTTTTTTCACATCAGGAAGGACATCTCTTAGAATAAAAACAATAATAAAAACATTAGAACTTTCTTTAGAGTGACAGCCTAATGCCTTAACATAGCTGCATGGAGAAAACCAATTTCAACTGAAAACAGTAAAAACTGTTTTTTTTTTTTTTTTTTTTTTTTTT